CGTCAGTGTGTTTCTATCTAAGTTTTCATTTCTGCTTCTGTACTTGGAACTGTCTGAAACATGGCTCCCAGTTCTGTTTTTTCCTTAGTTATTGTGCTCCCTGGACCTCAGTGTTCTCATCTGTAAAATGGGGATTAATCACAGCTCGCCCCGATTTGGCTCTTGGATGGTTACCTAAATAATACATGTCAAGGCGACCGGACTAGGGCCTATTGTGTAGAAAATGCTCAGTGCATAGTAGCTGCTAATGTTGTTTGATGTTATTATTATTTTATGTTCCCTCCTGTTCTTGACGTGGATGCTGGCGGGGTCCCCTCCTGCAGGCATGGACAGTCAGCGAGAGTCCCGCTTGCTTCTGGTTAGCAAAATAACTGAATTGCAACAAATTGCCTGCGTTGGGCTATTTCTGGATATTTTCACTGCTGTTGATGCCTGACAGACTGATTACTTCCCGGTTTGTGGCTTTTCTTGGCAGCAGAGTTGAATTAAATCGAATCGAGATATTAAGTGTCTGACTGCTGACTAAGAAGACTGCCCTGGACCTGAAAAGAAAAAAGTACACTTGATTAACAATTTTAATAGTCTTGACTTCCCAGTAATTAATTCACTTTTGTCTGATTTCCAAATAGTCTGAGATGGTGAGGCATTTTATACTCATTGAAGGTGTGTTTTTTTGTACATTTGTAAATATATTGTCGGTCTTGGTGTTTATATCAATAAAAACAAATAAGAATGTTTATATTTACAACTGAATTATGACTATGAACTTTGCTCACAGTGGCTGGTGGTGTCCCGTGGGTTGGACCCCCGGGTGGTCGCTGTCTCCTGCCTCTTGCCTCTGTCGCAAGCCACTCGGTGCAGAGTTGCCAGGGCCCCTCAGAGTGCCACCCGAGTCTTCCCCGTGGCAGATTCCTTGCTTGTCGATGCGTGGACTCGTCCGTCCGCCCCTGAAGCGCGTGTTCACTGATGGCTCACTGCGGGCGTTGTGGAAATAGCAACGAGCAAAGCAGCCCCCTATCTCACAGGCCTTTCCTTCCAGTGGGGCAAACGGAAAATCAACTCACAAATAACCAAATAATCAACTGGATGGTGATGAAAACCACAGAGAAGCACTGGGGAAGCAGGTCCAGAGCGGAGATGGAGGCAGAGGAGCCTGTTAGCGGGAGGGCCGGGTGCCTCTCTAATAAAGAATGAGACAGAGGCCTGAAGACATCAGGATGTGAGGCAGGAATGTCCAGGGGCAGTGGGTGGGCAGAAAAGAAGCCGCTGAGAAGGACCTGAGGGGAGGTTTGTTCCAGGGCATGTTGAAGGACCTGAGATACCCAAATTTTAAAAAGGGGGCAGATTTGAGATAATTAAGAGGCCATTTATTGAGAACTCAGATCTGCAATAGCGAGTGTGTCCGAGGGCAATAAGGCACGTGGTTATGTTTACATTTTGTTTTAAAATAGGTCAGCTTTGGCAGGACGGCTTTAGCTTGCTGTCATATCCAACCGATTGGGAGTGGCTGCTTGGAGCTCGGGCAGAGCGGGAGTCTGAGTGGCGTCTCCGCTCTCTTCTCTGCCGTGATCAGTTGGTTTGCCAGTGTCTTCCATGGCAGCGTGGATATGTGTGTGGGGTGAGGCAGGGTGGGTGGAAGCCTCACATTTGCCATCAGGGAAGTAGATCAGTCCCAAGAAAAGCACGTGTCTCATGTTCAGTTCTCCTTGGCAGCTGACACTGGCACAGAGCTGGGGGACACAAGTCCCTGGAGTAATTCCCACCCTCCCAGCCCTGACTGTGTCCACTTTGCTGTGGTCTGGACTCCTTGCACCGGCCAGGGCATGAAATGAATTCTTGAAACGGGATCCAGACCTAAGCCTGTGAGGGTTGGGTTGGGGTTGCCCAGATGCAGTCTGCAGTCCCCAGAAGAGAGTCATTGACCAGTTAGCTTCTCTGGTCCTGGGGTCTGGTAGCCGGAGGTCAGCTGGGGGACTGGGCCTGTGTTGACTTGCCAATGTCGATTCTGGGTCCTAGTCCCTAGGGTTGGCTCTGTCCTAACAGGCCTCTAAAACCGGAAGTCAGAGAGTGGGAAGAGACCCCCCTTCTCATCCCCACCGCACCCCCCAATATGTATAATCACTCCTGCCCATGACTCAAGAGGAGCCAACAGTTGGCTGTGTCAAGTAGGCAGTTTCAATCTAAAAGGGCCTTGAGGTGGGCCAAGCTGGAGAGGGGCGTGGGGATGCTGGAATTTGTTGAGTCCCATGGGGTGTGGAAAGAGTTCAGTAAAGCAACTTTCAACTCAAGTGGGCATGGGGGCTGCAAGAGGGCCCCATGCCTTTGCAGACTTTGGCCACCAGGGGGCGCTTGACTTCACGGCTCTGTGGGAGCTGGGTCCTGGGTGGTGGCATCCTGGGTAACCCGGACACAGGCTTCTGGAGAAGGAATTCTCGTGAAGTCCTCTGGTGACTCGATGCTCTCCAGTGATGGGAGCTGCTTTCTAAATGCCATAGCCAGCAGGCTGTGTCACTGCGGAGAGGGGTGACTGGTGGCTTTGCCTCAGGCCCAGACAGGTGGACTGTCCACCCGCCTTACCCCCACCCTCGTCCAGGTCTACCTCCACTGGGAACTAATTTCTGCTCCCGACTCAAAGGGCCTTCTTTCTTTGCAGTTTGGTCTTTCTTCACTGGGACCACCTGGCACTTTGAGGTGTCAGCAGGTTGGACGGCTGTGCCCCCTTCTCTGTGTCCAAGGCAGGGCTCTCCGCCAGACCAGGGTCCACATGGGGCTCCGGCACGCTCATTCCTCTGGTTCCTTTGTCTGGATGGGAGTTGGTGGGCTGGGTGAGTGTGGGAAAGAGGAACAGAGGCTGGCAACCTGTGGCCTTCACCCCCTGCAGGCACAGGCCTGGGGTGCCCTGCTGGCCGGGGCAGAGACCTAGGGTTGAGGCCCAGCAGGGCCCCGAGAGTACGACACCTGAGACTGTTGCTGGTGCTGCCTATCAGTGCCACGCCCTCGTCTTTCCCAGGTGGGTACACATCAGGGGTAGGTGGACTTAGATTTTCAGGGTGCTCCAGGAGGGTCTGTGCTCCAGCATTCACAGTGAAATCCCGTGTGAGCTGGAGGCCTGAGAAAAGTTACATACCAGCCGGAGCCAGGTTAGGAAACAGGCCACTCAATGACTGAACAGTGAGAATTTCACATAAAGAACAATTAACTGGAATCACCAGGTGACTCAGGTCACAGAAAGGCCAGAGGAGGGCATCAGGTCACCGTAAGTATAGCGACTGCAGGAGCTCCCACTGCCATGGGGAAGACAGTGGAATTATGAAAATTAGGGGCTTGGAGCAGAGCCCTGTAGACCTGGGACCAGGGGCTCTGAGGGTGGGGCTTGGCCAGCTGGTGCACGTGTCCCTGCCGTGGACACCAAGGAGCCAGCTCTGTGGTGGGGAAGATGCAGCTGGGACCCTGCGCTTGATGAGGGGCAGGAGTGGGGCAGGAGAAGTGAGGGGGCCCAGCCTGCATTTTTTTTCCTTTTTTTTTTATTGCTGATGCTTGAAGACAAACAGGTTTGATGACCCAACACCCAAGATGTCAGACTGGCTGCCAGGGTTCCTGGTTCCTGCACAGTGAGGTGGCCCCGTTCCTGACCATCAACCTGGAGACAGTTCCCAGCAGGTGGTGAGGTGGGGGTCTCTGGGCGACACTCCAAAGCTGGGTGTGGGGGGTGTCACGGGAGGAACTGCAGAAGGGGGAGCTGCCGCCCCCTAGTGGACACCTGCGGGTCTGCAGGAGGGTGATGCGACCTGCTGCTGGCCGGCTGGCTCTCCCCTGCCCGCCTTGGCCTCCAGGGATGACCAGCTGCATCCTCTGATGCGATGAGGGAGCGCTCAGCACTGGCCCACGGTGATGGTGTCTTCTTCAAAGGCAATAAAAGTCTCATCACCGAGATCTCCACCTGCGGCTCCAAGAACCTGATGGCCTGCGGCAGGTGCAGACACCCGAAGCTGACGCCCGCCCGG